TTCAACTTTGGAAATGATCATGCAGACAATGGACTCAGGACAAGGTGCGTTTCTATAAGTCTTCCTACCAACATGACCAAGTTGAGAAAAGAAGGTCAAACAAAGTCTATACAAGAAAGGAGACTGCGACCACACAAAAGGCCACACCATCTTGGTCTTCATACCTTCAATGACCACCTAGGCAGACTAAACTCTTATTCAAGATCTACTGATAGTTTAGAAATCCTACTTACTTCGAATGGGTGTAATGTTTTCGACGGTAATAGCAAATACCTATTTGTCTCCCCGACACTCCCAACATAAAAATGTGATATGAGAGGGGCCTGGCTCGCCTTGAGATTAACTTTCGCTTTGTGATAGAATGGCACGATACAGTTTCGAGTCCCGCTGAGGGTACAGCAGGTTATTCTGGATGGGACTAACTTTTACAAGGAGGTGTAAGGCTTCGAAAACCTGTCTCATTTCATATCGAAGTGAAATTCAGTGTTGAGCTCACTTAGACTATCATTGGATCTTGAATAGACGTGAATTTCAAGGAATCCTACACTTTTCCTATGTCATATTTGTGTTTGGATTGTCGACAAAGTACAGTTGTATTTGCTATAGTAATAGACTACTATTATATTAATATGAGATGTATTCACCCAATTTCGTTTAAGGTGATGAAGGACTGATAGAATAATTTTTGTGGGAAAATTCTTCCGAATACAAGCAATACTTAAATGCGAAAAATATTATTATATTAGACGTACTGGTAATCTCGAAATCCTACTTGTAAAAACTAGAAATGAGTAATGTATTCTATTGCTATAGCAAATAAAACTTTGCTTCGTTGACAATCGCAACGCATAAGTATGATATGGTAAATGCCTGGATGCACAATCCATTCCACTCTTTGGAAAGCACAACTGTGAAATTCAATAGAAACACGAGACCCACTCTTGTACTTCATGATCCTAAACTAAATAGGCTGAATACTGCTGTACTTCAGATCTACTAGTATTTTCATAAAGCTACTTATAAAACGAAAAATGACTACGTTCTTATTTAACAATTACTGATAGCCTCGAAAGGTATTTATGTTAAAAATGAATGGAGTGAACTGACCTGATGCTCAACTTTCTGCTCCTCAACTGGCGCTATTTGATCCATCACAATCTCGTCCAGACATAGCAACCGACCGCGCAGAGGAGCATGTCCACTCGCTGCCAGTGGTTGGTCGGTATCTCTCATGCCCTGTTGAAGGACTCGAACTCTACCAGCGCCCCCTTTGATCTCTTCTGCCTCTCCCTCATTGGGCTCATCTTGCTCAGTCTCCTCCTCGTCTTCTTCGTCCACTTCGTCCCCTTCGTCCCCTTCGTCCTCGTCCTCTTCCTCTTCCTCTTCCTCGTCGTCGTCTTCGTCTTCGTCCTCCTCCTCCTCCTCCTCCTCCTCCTTCTCCTCCTCATACTCCTGCTCCTCCTTTTCCTTCGTTCTGTCTTTAGCTCTCTTTCCTTCTTCCCTCGTGTCGTCCGCACCTCTTTCTCTAATCGTCAGTCCATTGGGCGCAACCTTCCTGTCGCGTTTCCCAGCCTCGAGGCTGGCCTGCATCATCAGCCCATTCGGCCGGTCGAGCTGTTCCTTTCCGATGGTTTGCTTCACTTCTGCCTCGTGTCCACCGGTCGACAGGCTCGTCTGACGCTTTTTGTCTTTGCATCGTTTATTCTGGAACCAGACACGAATGACCCGAGAACTAAGTCCGGTCACGATCGCCAACTGTTCTTTCGTCAGCCCGTCCGGCCGCGGATTGACGGCGTAACAGGCCCTCAATGCGGCCAACTGACGCTCACTGAGCACAGTCCTCATTCTCGTCTGCTTGCCTGAGACTCGTTGGCCGGATCCGGTCGAGACGGTTTCCACGCGGCCGTTGCCGCCCGGAGACTCTGTCTGCCGGGCGCCGCGAAGAGCGGTAGAAACGGAGGTGGACATGTGGCGGTGAAGACGAGCCTCGTTCGATGGTGCCGGCTGAGAGGGCAATTGGGGCGAGAGGGAAAAGTGGTAGCGATGGTGTTGGTGAGACGGTGTGTTGGGCGGCAGAAGTGGACAGACGAGGCTGTTGGGCGTCGACGGTACCACAGAGTGGGGCGCAGATGTGCCGGCGAAGAGGGCCGATGTGAGGGAGGATGGAGAGACCGACGCGAGTGGTCGGTCTTGGATGTTCGAGGCGAGGGGTCCGACGGTGATTGGGCCTCGCGGCGTCGCCGTTCGCCAGTCGACTCGGCCAAATCGGCCAGAAGCGTTGCCGTCCTGGCCGACGCGAGGCTGGTACCAATCCGGTTGGTGTCGACAGGTCGACAGGTCGAGTCGCCGACGACCAGCCTCGAGTTGGGCGGTTCGGAGGCTGGTGGGTTGGACGGATTGCGTGTCAGGCGGTTGGAGACCGGTTGTGACGACGGTTGGAGGCGGGTGAAATTGTGACAGCGTCGAAGGCGAGGCGAGGCCGACGAGGGCGGGATCAAAGGGACCGACGGCAGCTGGAGTAGCGAGTGGTGTGAATTTGGAGCTGAGACATGTGGTCGGTTGAAGAAGTCGACTCGAAGATGTGCCGGACTGGGCTAGACGGAACATGAAAGGTGAGTTTGGTATGCTCGGCGCGCATGGAAATCCAACTGGGAGGTGTTGGTGCTCAAAGGCATGTTGCAGTTGGTCTGGAAGGGCAGCCTCGAGTTGGTAGTCCACACGCAGATCGTTGTCGTCTGGAAAATAATAGGCAAGATCAAGTGACAAATCTTGATAAAAAGATAATTTTGTACATACCAAGAATAACTGGGTTTCGATGT